ATGTTGTTGAGGTCATGTCAGTGATAGTAACAGGATATGACAATACTTTTTTATTGAGGTCATGTCAATGATAGAAACAGGATACAATATCAAATATAAATAACTATGAGATATCACTTCTCATAAAACTTGTACTGCATTAATTATTCAACATTTTGTGGCTATTATTTTGTTTTATGTCATTGTGGTAAGAAACTACCAACACTAATAAAAAAAATATATATATTTATGAATAGTTAGCCAAGGCAGTTGGTCTCAAAAAGGTTTGAATAATGCATATTCATTTATTACTGAATGATTTAAATGTATATACCACATACATATAAACACATTAGTTGATGGAAAAGTTCTATTTGGTATTGGAGCTCATTAAGGTTAATTTGAAAAAAAAAATCCTTTATTGTCTTAGTTGTTTTTTCATTTAAGATAATTTTAATAAAACCTTTTAATATTTAATTCTTTAAGTAAAATATTTCAAACTGTCCCTTGCTACTGCAATCTTAAATGTCAGTACAATTGCAGTGAAAATGTTATGATATTGCAAATCATCCATATTATTAGATTGTGATTTAAATTTGATTTTTTTTTAAGAACCCAAAGAGGACAACAGTGTTGTTTTATATAAAGTTGTATTGTTCACTTTTTTTTCTTTTTTTTTTTATTGTGATCAATAAGATTGTAAACAAGAAACTTGTATCAAAGTAAAAAGAAAGGTTTAGATTTAAAGTTATGAGCAGCGTAAGGTTCAGTTCTTTATATGCGCACATTTTTTTTTTTGGTGAGTTAAGTAAGAGTCAACCAAAATTGATGGATGTGTAATTCTCTAACACTTCTTAAACAATGCTAAGAAAGCTTATTGATAATTTAATATAACACTTTTGGACAGTAAGGGATTATTTGGGCCTTCAAGGCCATCCCTGTACACTCACCCTTGAGAAAAAGTAAGAAGTTATAAACCCACCCTTTATTTTTCAGGAAATTATTGATTCCCCTCATGAACTCATGTAAACTACTGACCTCTACTACTGTTTATGGCAATGTGTTTCATAAATCACCCTGTTAGAAAAATAAAACTGTATGAACTAGAGCCTAGCCTGTTTTTTCCAGACTTTAAGCTTTTGTCTTCTCATCGTGAGACCTTTATCCTATAAATCTCCTGGATTATCTTCTAAGCTTAACTAAGGTCACTTGTTACCCTTCTTTTTACATGAGAAAATAAATTATGTTAATCTTTCTCAATAAGATAAACCATTTCATCTCCAGAATCATCCTAATAACCTTTTCTAGATCTTTCAAGTAAACCTAGATAAGCAGACCAAAACTTTACGCAGTATTACCAATGAGGGCTAACTAGTCATTTGTATAAAGGAATAATTATCTCTCTTTATTTGTAATCAGTATGTTTAAAAGTATATTGGATTTACTATTAACAACAGACACTGACTCAAATGGTAGAGTAATTTATCCACCACTATGCCAAAATTCTTTTTTTTTTTAGTCATGCTGTTAAGTGAGTTCCCTTCTTTATTAAACATGTGATTTAAATTATGGCATCTCAAATGCGTTAATTTGCTTTACTGTAATTAAAGGTAATTTGCCATCTATTTGTCCAACTTACCAAGTTATCTAAGTCATTCTGTAGAACCTAAACATCCTCGATACAACTAGAAATACCCAATAATTTAATGTCATATGCAAATTTTATTAATTTACTTAAGTAAATAAGGAAAGTGAAGGCAAGGTAAAAAGTGTCCAGTTTACCTGGATTTGTTTGATAATTTTTTACTTTTTCTCATACAACCATCCTACAGTATAATTATTTAGACTTTTCTCAACCCCTACTAATGAGATTCTCATAATAATCTTATGTATGATACCTTAACAAAAGCATTTTGAAATTCAAGGTACACTAAGTTGACAGATAACATGTAACATAACCTAGAGGGAACAAGGTATCCTTGTACACCAAACCTTGATAACAGTACATTTAAGCCCATTATTTCATTTTTCAGGAAACCATTGTAAAGTGCTGCCCATGGTAACTCATTTGATAAATCAATCACCCCTCTTGAAGAATAAAACAATCTTAACTGTAGCCTAACCTGTTATTCCCAAGTTTTAAACTTCAGAAAATAATGTAAATAAATCAAAGAGTTTTATCCTGTCAGTTCCCAAGATATCTGTTAAACTTCAATAAAATCACCTCTTACTCTTATGGTTTTTCTGAAGAGAAATTAAGTTATGAAATTTTAAACTGTCCCTGAAGATATCCCTGTTATTGGAATCATCCTCATAGTCTAGGACTTAAAGAGTGTTTGTGTAACACTCACATAAAGTCCATTTAGTATTCTATAATGCAGAAGTAAATTTAACAAATATCCTGTTATTATCACTGACATGACCTCAATAAAAAGGTATTTTAATATCCTGTTATTATCACTGACATGACCTCAATAAAAAGGTATTTTAATATCCTGTTATTATCACATAACCTCAAAAAGAAAGTATTGTAATATCCTGTTATTATCACTGACATGACCTGTATAAAAAAAACTTAGAAAGCACTGTACAATCATGACAGCATGCTAACATATATATGTTCTCTGGTCAAATTAACTGACCCCTAATTTGAATGACTGAGTGACATTTGTCACTCATTTTAAAATAGTATTTCAGTTATAAATGACAAATATATTATGACTTTTAGTTTTAACTCTTATAATACTGTGTACATATTGAACCTGATATTTATAACAAAGTGTTTGGAAAATTCACAAAAGAAATAGCCATAATGTAAATAGCTAAGGCTATGTTGAACTACAAAATTTACATACTGAAATCTGTGATGATGAAATCAAAATATATAACTGTTAAAAACTAGTGTGTAGCATTAACTGGTGTTTGATATCAATTAACATTTTTGGATCATTATAAATCTATCTATATATATATATATTTATTTGAAATGATGTGACATTGGATATCTTTAGTTTAGATTAGGCTTATAAATTATATATAGTGTCAATATACGTATATATATATATACATATATGTGGTACTAATGTTACTACAGTAAAAGCGGTATATATGATATATATATATATATATATATCACTTAAGAAGTTAATAATAATATACACTTGGAGATAACTAATAATAAATACTCAGCCTGTCAGTCGGAATGTTGGACGAATCTGAAAGCCATATTAACTTCGGAGTCCAGGTAAATCAAGAAAAAATTACAGAATTGAAACTAAATCCAAACCAAAAAACTTAAAAAGTCCAAATTTGGGCTTGTCTCGTA